GAAAGGATGGAAGGTTGAGTGAACCTCGAGCCAGCGACCTGGGACTGAACCTAGGTGGTGAGCAGAGTTTGGGCTGCAGGACTGCAGCTTAACCACTGCGATACGAGGCTCATCAGAGAGGGTTATGAGCATTTAGAGCAGAGAATGAACGTGGAGCATTTGCCTCGGTATTGAGAAAATTGGCAGCCATGCTCTCCGGGTGCACCTAGGCTAATGGCCGCTGCTGATCGAAACCGGATCACGCCATAGTGGTCTTTGTACTGTACTTCCCAAATCCCCTGGGGCCTCGGCATCATCATCATTTGCCCCAGAACTAAAAGCATCCACTTCTGTTTTAGAATGTGCCCTTTGCAACAAAAGCCTGTTAGGAGCAAGAAAAACTGCCAGTCGAAACATTGGTGCTGTCTGGCCATGTGCAAAAGTTATTGAGATTTTTTTTTTCCTCCTGAGGTTCAAATTCACGTCCAGACAAGGTCTTGAAGGCCTTCGTTCTGCTATTGTGAGCAAAAAAAAAAGGTAAATGTCTGGAATACAAAAGCAGCACCTGCCAATCTTCGCATCTCTTTGCTTAAAATTCTTGCTGCCGAGGAGTCAACCTCAGAAAAGGCATTTCCTCCTTTTGGAATGGGGGGGGGGGAGCCACACAAAAAGCCAAAATCCAGTCCTATGATGGTGTCATGGGTGGAGCGGCCCTCGGGGCAAGTCCAGACAGCCCCATGAAGTTGAAGATGGACCGTGTTTGATCCCAGGTTTGAAAACTCCCATCTCTCATGGGCAACAAAATGTATACAGTGGTGCCTCGCTAGACCGTTACCCCGCATGACAGTTTTTTCTCTAGACATTGGCTTTTTGCGATCGCTATAGTGATTTGCCAAACAGTGATTCCTATGGGGGAATTTCGCTGGACAATGTTTGGTCCCTGCTTCGCAAACCGATTTTCGCTAGACGACGATTTTGACAGCTCCCTCTGCGCTCGCAAAACAGGTATTTTCAGGACCTAAGCTTTGCAAGACAGCTATTTAAACACCTCATTGGTGGTTCGCAAAGCGGCTTTCCTATGGCCGATCTTCGCTAGACAACGACGATTCTTCCCCATTGGAACGCATTAAACAGGTTTCAATGCATTCCAATGGGGAAATGCTTTTCACTTTAAATCATCGTCTAGCGAGGCACCACTGTATATTGAACAGCTCCCCAGAATTTCAAGCTAGGTTCTTTCCTAGCCCTGGCTAGAGAAGTTCAGGAATGAATGCAGGAATCTTCTTTAAGGAAATGAAGGGTTCCATCTGAGCTATTATGGCCACTTCTGATGCCCCCTTTCTTCTGCAGTGTCACCAGCAATTAAGGGTTATTTGTTTGTTTGTTTGTTCCCCCACAAGCTCCAAATTAAAGGTAATCTAATTGCCGGTTGTGTGGGAATAAGCCCAGCAGTTCTGTATGAGTCTAAAGAGGAGAAAGGGGAAAAAAAGAAAATCATCAAGCCATCTCCAGGGGCAATTAAAGAGAGAGAATTTAGAAGCTGGAGGTGCATTAAGTCACGCTGACAGTATGTAATGGTTTGAAGGGTTGATTGGTTTACATTTGGTGGAGCTGTGAAATTCGAGGGTTTGGGCTGAAAGCATTATACTGATTAGCTGGGATTATTGCTATGCTTTTTCTAAGAAGGAATTAATGGCTCAGATGGACCTAAAACTGATAAAACGTTTTGTGTGCTTAAAAAAAAAACACACTTAAAATGGCTGGATGGATAGATAAGATTCATTCCAGCGCATGCCAAATCCTGGAGCAAAAAGTTTCTGGACTAGGCAGTCAGGGATACAGAGCCTGGAGGGGGATAAAAACCAGACTACTGTTCATAAAACATGCCAGCTGGGACGTTCCCTGATTCTGAGAAGGGTAGATTTTTCTTGCAAACAAGCAGGGTTCTATTTAGCCATCATGATTAATGATTCGTGATTCACGGCATTGATCGGCTACTCCTTCTCCAACTGCATTGCTATGGGTTATGCCGTTTGGGCTGAACGGGGATTGCAGTCCTGTTTTAGAAGCACGTGAGCCTTGATGGGAAAACTAACACCCCTTCTGCGGCTTCACTCCCTCCCATTCCAGCTTCTGCCATTTGTGCAAAATAGTTCTTAAACGAAGCCAAAAAGGTCTGGCATTTGTGAAAATCAAATGAGAGGAACTTTCAAAAAGGCTTTACCAGTGGCACTGATGCCACATTTTTTGGGGGGGGGGCTGTCCACTCCATGGTTTCACCCAAACTTTAAAGTAGACAGCCAAGATGCTAATTTATTTGGGAAGGTAGCGTTCAGCACCACGGAGAGCTGCTGTGAAGTCTGGACTAAAACAGGTTCACCACCCTGCGGACATGGGCAGGGTGCCTTGCACATCATCAAACTGTGGAACTCTCTGCCGCAAGATGTAACAACAGCTACCGACGTGAACAGCCACTTAGGCGGAGACATGGATGATCAGCCAATCGACACAACACTAGTCTTGATGGCCACGTACGCAGAAATGCAACACGTCTCACAGTGCAGCTTGCTGTGAGAGGGGGCATTAGCAGGAGGGTGGGGTGAGGGTTTTTTTAGGTTTTGTTATGTTGTGAACTTCCCAAAAGCATCTAGTTGGGCCTTGTTGGGAAACAGGATGCGGAGCTGAATAGATCTCTCTTCTCATCCTGCAAGGTCCATCTTACATTCCAGTGCGGGGTAGGGTGGGGGGCTAAACGGCATCTTCCCACCCTGGACCCACAACTCCCCCACACTTGTGCTACACAACTTGATTTCCCCAGCAACAAAAAACACACAAAAACCCAGTTGCAGCTTAAGAGAAACTGCAAGGTTAGAATTTTGCTTTGGGTCTGGCTACAGAGCTCCGTTGTGTCGTTTTAACACCAAAAAATATCCTTCTCCCCCCCCCCCCATTCCAGAACTCAAAATCCAGCTGTCGATGGCTTCACTTTGGGGCAGGTGTTTGGGTTAGGTGGTTGCCGTTCTGGATCACCCACACAGATCCGGGAGGATCCCAGTGGCGGAGAACCAGCCACCGGACCGGTCGGATTGGCGCAAAGAGGAACAGCTCCCCTAAATGGCAGTCATTTTATGGGAGACGGGCCGAAAGGCGAGAGAAATGATTTTCCCCATGCCTCGCTGAACAACAGCTTGGAAATGACACCGGTGCTCGTTCCTTCCTTGTTTAGGCTTCTGAAAATAACCCCAAACTTCCCTGAAGGCCCAGCAGGGAGGATTGATCCAGTGCCAAAGAACAAAAAGTAACAGGGAGGCTAATGAACGCCCCCCCTTTTTCCCCCCCTTCGCTCCGTTTCCAAGAGGATTTCAATTTCTCATTCATAATGAATCAGCAGAGAGACCTTGAAGTAATGCGGAAAAGGCACCTGCAGGATGCTCTTCTCCAAGGAGAGGAATGAATTCATTACAGTTCTGGCCTCGTTTTTTTCCCCCTTGCAACAATGGAAGTCTCTAGATCCAACAAAACTTATCATGGTACCTCTATTACTAAATTAAAGGGGAGGGAAAACTTTTGGTCTGCTTTTATCAGACCTAACTTTCACCTTAAAAACATTATTGTAGAGGAATAATATCAAAGGGTTTGTAGAGAAGCAACTGCAAGAAACTTTCCTGCCGAACTTAAATTCTATGGTGTAGGCTCAGATTGGACCATGAAACTGGGCATGCATCTAGAAACAGTGCTCCCTATAGTAGTCAAAAATGTCTGTCTGTCATAGCATGTGCTTTCCTCATGTCCCTATCTTACATTTAGCTGTGATGAATTTTCTATTGCAATTGGTTATCGGAAGGTGAATTTAATTTGCAGATCTGATGGAGAGGCAGACATCTCTAAGGACAATATGCAAAAAGTGTTCATTGTAAGGAATATGCATTTCCTTTAGAATTGAGTACTGCTTCTTTGGTATGTATAACGACCGTTGCTTGCAATATGCTACTGTCCTACAGAAGACACGCAGTTGGGCGGTGTGTTGTTGTTTAGTTGTTAAGTTGTGTCCGACTCTTCGTGACCCCATGGACCAGAGCACGCCAGGCCCTCCTGTCTTCCACTGCCTCCCGGAGTTGGGTCAAATTCATGTTGGTCGCTGCAGTGACACTGTCCAACCATCTCATCCTCTGTCGTCCCCTTCTCCTCTTGCATTCACCCTTTCCCAACATCAGGGTCTTTTCCAGGGAGTCTTCTCATGAGATAGCCAAAGTATCAGAGCCTCAGCTTCAGGATCTGTCCTTCCAGTGAGCACTCAGGGTTGATTTCCTTCAGAATGGATAAGTTTGTTCTCCTTGCAGTCCAGGGGACTCTCAAGAGCCTCTTCCAGCACCACAGTTCAAAAGGATCAATTCTTTGGCAGTCAGCCTTTTTTATGGTCCAGCTCTCACTTCCATACGTCGCTACTGGAAAAACCATAGCTTTGACTATGTGGACCTTTGTCGGCAAGGTGATGTCTCTGCTTTTTAAGATGCTGTATAGGTTTGTCATCGCTTTCCTCCCAAGAAGGCACTCAAGCATAGCACGATGCAGCAATATCAGGTACAGTATTAAATAAATTCACACACAGAAAGAAAAGTGTGTCAATGCAGATACATTTACTCTCTGTTTCTTACATCTTCAAAATGTTCTGGGCAGGCCCACCAGGGCCAAATTAAATCCGTTGGGAAGACTGGGAGGCTAGACCAGATTTCAAGTCATCTTCCTCCATGAATATTTTCTTACCTCTGTTTCGAAATGAGCAGGCCTTTATTATTGTTTTTTTCTGAAGACTTGGCTCCTAAAATGTAACTTGTTTTATATTCGAAATGAGCAGGCCTTTGTTATTGTTTTTTTCTGAAGACGTGGCTCCTAAAATGTAACTTGTTTTATATGGGTAGAAAAAGAGGACGTAATCTCAAGAAGTTATTTGGTTCCATGTCCTGCCTGTTTGAGTTCACAGCTCTCGTTATCTCCTTCTCTTGTTGTTTTTTGTTTTACAGATAAATTTTGTATTTCTCTTTAACATCGTTAGGATTCTCATGACAAAACTGAGAGCCTCCACCACATCTGAAACAATACAGTACAGGTAAGCTGAGAAACCGTAGTGGAAACAGGCTAGATTTCTTTGTCTAAGTCATAGGAACATTTATCCGAATTAGAAGTAACTAGTTACATGTAACATAGTTATCGGTAACTAGTTGCTTTTGGTAAATTAATTTGGGTAAGTTACAGATAACTTATCAGCAACTAGTTGCTATTAATTACAATGTTAGTTACTGTTTGTGAATTAGGTGCAACAAGTAATGAATTAGGTGTAACAAGTAAAAGTAGATACTTTCGAACTACTTTTAACACCATTTCAGAGGCATTTTGATTGAATTGGTTTAGGTTTCATATCATTTTCTTATCAGTCCTAAGTAGGAAGGGGCGTATTCTTTGGTTTGTCTTGGTTTTTATAAATATTTACAAGTTGCAGTCAGAATTAGTCATTAGATGGAACTGTGGTGTATTTCCCCCCCGCATTTTCTCATCCTGTTGGTACTGCCAAGGTCATGAATTGCAAACAGTGGTAATGAAGAAAGAAAGAGTAAAGTTCTGAAATTCGTTTATTCGCTGGATGGGGTGACTGGGGTTGAAATCATTGCTTAGAGAGATATCAGCAGGCATATTAAATCTATTTTTGGACCTCCTTTAAGAAATCGTCCTAACTGCTAATCGTCCAAAGGAGTGGAGCATCTCAGCTTATTTTAATCATGTCTCCTCTTTTGAAATTAGCGTAGCTCAAGAAAGAGGCAAATTTCCTAGTTCTTAAACAGGGCTGCAAGCAAGATTTGGTTGAGACTGTTTGCCTGCAGGTCCCTCTTTTGAATTTGCTACCGGACACTTTGGATTTATTTTGTTTTTTGGTTTGTCCGAGACCACCCACCCCATTCCAAGAAGATTTCTAAAAGTCTTCTCTAGATAAGTTTGAACTTCAGTCCCAGAAATGTACAGCGCCCTGGCCATCCACGCTTTGCGTACTTTAGAATATACATAAAGAACTCCGGGGCCTTTTGAACCGCCATCATCTTAGCAAAACCTGCTCTTTGCTCGTGAAGCCTGCATTTTTACATGTCTTCACCTTGCATTTATCGAGTCAGCTGGGCGTCAGAGTTTGACTTCACTCACAGACTGGAAAAGACACCCGTTATTATAAAGAAAATTAGAATACAGTGCTGTTATGATGGGGCCCGCGTTGCCAAATGTCATCAGCAAATGCTAATTTTGCCAGTTAACATTTGCTTCCTTATAATTATAACGCTGATGAGTTGTCTTCCAGCCCGTGGTTCTGTGGAGGCATGTTTTCTAACAGTGCATTCGACAATTGCTCAATGCAGGGCATCTGCCTGCTTATCCAGAACTAAGGAAAGCTATGCCAGAGTAGACCCCATCGATTGTTATAAACCCAGCTGTGAAAAATAACAACACGGAAGTGGAGACAACCGTAGACACAGCCTTCAAGATAGCAAGAGGACATGATACAGCACTCTGAGGAGTGTATTGCTGCAGACACAAACATTTCCACAGTATCCTCCCAGTTATGGGACCCTGTCTACTGGGAGTTACTGTATGTCTGCTTCCAGATCACTTGTTTGGGCACGAGACAAATACCAGTTTTTTCAAAAGAAAAAGAATTTACTCTTTGGATTAGAGTAGGTTGGACTTTTTAAAGTTTTAGATTTAGGTTGAATCAGGGTCATCCAATTGACATGGGTCTAACGAGGCCTATCTTAAACATGGCAAAACTGTGCATTAAAGACAGCACATCATTAGAAGCTGTGAAGAGGCTGGTGTTCCAAGGACATGATTTAAGCAGACATTCATGCCCGAATAATTATACTTGCTAGCAAAGTCTGGGTTTACTTCTGGATGATCCATTACAAAGCACTGTAATATCTTACTCTGCAAGCTGGAGGAATGAAAAGCTTCTGCTGTGACAATCAGAGATCTTTCAGCAGTTAAGGGATTTCCTCTTCTAATAACATGTTGTCTATAATGTACAGAGATATAATGTTTGACCCCAAAAACTGGGTCCAACGACCTGCCTCAATGATAACACGCGCGAGATCAGAGTCAGATTTCTCAGGTTCACTGGTGGCTAAACCTACAGCACCTTTCCTTCTCTACCTCCTGCCTTTTTATCTTTTTCTAACAGGAAGGCTGTCAAAGCAACCTTGGTTCTTCTGCCTCTTCTGGGGATTACATACATGCTCTTCTTTGTCAATCCCGGAGAAGATGATATTTCCCAGATATTTTTCATCTACTTCAACTCTTTCTTGCAGTCTTTTCAGGTAGGAAAAGAAGTTAAAGAAAAGCACCAAACGGGCAAGGTCTAGAACTCAAGACAGCTTAGCTAGTATGCATGAGTGTTAACAGTTTGCACAGACAGTATAGGTGACTGGCAAGAAATAGCTGTGCCAGCTGGGGAGGATGGGAGCTGTAGTCTAACGAGTTTTGAGGCTTGGGGAAGGGCTTCACACAATGAGATGGTCAACACACGGAAAAAAACAAAGTTGATTTTAGTTTTGCTTCTGACCCTCCCATCAGCTCTCTGGAGTGCCCCCCTCCCCGTTCTAGGTGCTTCAGAAATTAAACTGGGAGTCATGGTATTTTCCATGCAAAGATTTCCCTTCCTAATTTTATCATGTTTTGTACTGGAGGGAAGGGGGGGAAAAAAACCTCATGCAAAATTTCTGTTACTCTTTCCAGGGCTTTTTCGTGTCTGTGTTTTACTGCTTCTTAAATGGCGAGGTAAGTTTGCACCATCGCTTCTCGTCTGTCCATACGGTCGGTTAGTCACAAGTAAATGTACTTGTTGTGGTTGACGGGTCAGTTTTGTTAATGAAATGAAAAAAAGCTGTTCTTTCTAATGTAAAAAAATGTGTCATTGGTCTTGAATGCCTGTGCCATCCACAATATATTGGTGCCCAGCCTTATGAAGCCTGGTTTAGGTCAAAAGCTAGCTATTTGTTCTATTATTAGTGGTCTAATAAAGGTATTGCCTGCCCTTAACGTTTGTATTATATTATATTGTGTAAGGGCCACATGATCTTTGGTTATTTATTCTGATTTATTGAAGAGAAGGGAAGTGGGGTTTTAGGAATAAACGTGAACAGAATCCCCCTCAAAGCTTTGTGCTAAATCATCAACCCACAGCACAAAAGGGAGAGGACAAGTAGTCATTGAATTAATACCTTTTTTTGGCAAATGGGGGATTTGGGCACCGTTGAGATGGATTCTTCATATCTGTGTCCTGCATCTCTTCTGCAGAGGTTGGAGCACTGAACAGAGAATGTCGGTTCAAATGTCCCACGAAACCCCATCAATCCAGACCCACACTAAGAGATAGTTTAAAGTGTACCTCTCAAATGGCTAAGTGTGATTTTGGGCCAATGATCATGTAAAGCATGTGATTGTTCTTTGAGCATATCCTTTCTTCTGGCTGCAGTTGTGGGGGGGGGAGGCAGAAATAGAAAATGGGTCTTGGGGGTAATGTCCATCCAGAGATGGACATTCATGATCAAGACGAGACCGAGGGAGAGAGAAAGAATCTCAAGTAAGCCCTTTGTGAGGTTGAATAGCTTGCCTTGCTGATTTACAATATTATTTTTGTGGATTAACGATGTTTGTCTACGGATTACAACAGTCCTAGCGGATTATTCTAAAAATGTATGGAGCATAATTGTCTCGGTCGAGTTGAAATGACCTCTTCCGTTCCCAAAACGGTGTGGATTTCCTTTATCCCCAAAGCGCACCGTTTCAGAAGCCGTTTGGCTCTTTAATTTTTTCATGTGTGGCAGGTTTGTGTCCTTCAGAGAGAAACCCATTCTGCGTCGTTTTGCTTTATCTGTAAACACCTAGCTCTCTTTGTTTAAATCGCTGTCCTTTTCTCTCTCTTTTTTTTTTTAAATGGTTTCATGCTGATGTGTTAATTTAAATGGAAATAGAATGCGGCCCAGTTTGGATAAGCAGCTGAGATCAGCCCCGAGGCTGGACTGCACAAAGTTGATACGAGGAAGGAGACCACCCACCCCGTTTACCCTGGTTTTTCTCAAACGTACACAGCAGCCAGATTTGCTCCCTGTAATGTGTGAAATGGCCCCATGGTTTTCTTGAGGATTCCACAGCTTCCCACCGTCTCCTTACCCCCTGGCCTTGATAATGTTCCAGCTAGAGTGGAGAATTTCGCATCCCTTATACCCCTCCTTAGCCATGATTTTTTTTTTCAGCGAACATTTCCTCTAGCGGAGTTTAAAAGCTGACCTGACAGCCCACCCAGTCGCTCTCAGGTCCCCTCCTTCCAATTTCCCCATCATAAGCAGCTTTATTTTTCCCTTCAATTGCATCCAGTCTCTTGCCCTCTGGGGAGAAAGTAACTCTCTTTCTTCCCATAACCGTTCATTACTCTCCCATCTCCTCTGTGTGCTGAAGTTCCTGTCATCTTTTCCTGCCATCCTCTTACCAAAAGGTCTTCCTGTCGCCATTATATAACGGTGCCCTTCGTTTCCGAATCGTTTCTCCGTCTTCTCTGCCGTTTGGCAGCTGGGCTGCCCGGCAGTGACTAAAACACCCCATTAGCTTGGTATCGCTGCACCGATTATGACAAATTTAGGACTCGCCCGTTTTCCCATGCGGACAGTCATGTCTCTGCTTCTGCCTCCTGCCAAACGTGACGAATCACAGTTCTTCAGGACTGGGTTTGCAATGTTCACTCGGGAGGAGGCTGGCCTTCACATGAGTGCGTCTTAAAACCTACCAACGGAACGATAAGAGTCCTGGAATCATGGCAGTGGAAGGGGCCTCGAAGGCCATCAAGTCCAGCCCCCAATCAAGGCAGAAATCCAAGTCAAGGCCGATCCGGCAGTGTGTCTTCCCTAAACGTTCACTACCTATCTGAGGAAGTTGACTCCCCCAAGGAAGCTCACATTATTATTATTTTTAATTAAAGTTTGTGCAGGAGGAAAGGAGTCTGGGGATGTCTTGATCGGCAGGCCATAGCATTACTTCTACCTAAATATCATAACCTGTCTTACAAGAAATAGAGATGGGCGCGAACCACCAGTTCGGTGATTCGGTACGGTTCGTTTCCTGGTCAAACAGCTGATCTGCGGTTTGGCGCCCCTTCGATGGGTACCTCCTTTGCATCAGCACCCCGCCCTGCCTCCTCCAGGTGCTGCATCTGACTGGGCACCTGTCCGTGTGTGTGTGTGTGTGTGTGTGTGTGTGTGTGTGTGTGTGTGTGTGTGTGTGTGTGTGTGTGTGTGTGTGTGTGAGAGAGAGAGAGAGAGAGAGAGAGAGAGAGAGAGAGACTGAACCACAGATCAGCTGTTTGGCCAGGAATTGAACCCTGTTGAACCGCCCAAAGATGGGTTCATGCCCATCTTTACTATAAAATTGTGATAATGCTATTCCCCTGTTTTGCTCTTTGTATTATTTTATAGTAGTTCTAAAATCTACCAGTTAAGTTGCAACTAGAATATGCCCATTGAATCAGCGGGGCTTTGGCAAGTCAATTCAACAACGTGAGTCTTGATCAATGTTTAATTGATTATGTTGTATAGTATAGCTCAGTGGTTGAGGTCTCTGTCTGCAGAGCCAGAGGTTGGGGGTTCGAATCCCCCACTGTGTCTCCTGGGAGAAGAGCCAGCCTGGGTGGCCTTGGGCAAGCTGTACAGTCCCAGGGCGCCCCCTAGAGGAAGGGAATGGGAAACCACTTCTGTCTTCTTCCCAACCCAGAAAAGGGTTGCCATAAGTCAGAATCAACCTGATGACACATGAATAGAAAATAGTATTTAAAATTACAATTATTGTATGGCTTTAGTTGTGGTAAGCCACTTCCGGTCTCCTGTGGAGAGAAATGTGGCAAACGATCAATCAAATGTTTCAGGTGTTATCCATAATCGTTTTTTATAAGGATCATCAGCATAATTGCTGTATGTCTATTATTGTCACCTGCATTTAGTGCTTATGGGTTCTGAAACGATTTAGATTGTTTTTAAATTACACTTGTAAGTTTTTTTTAATGGAAAAGCAGGAATATAAAATTGCAAATACATCATCCTGGCTTACAGAGAAAGGCGAGGCAAGTAAAGAGTTAGGAAGTCTGATTGAAGACTGTCTGTCCCTGTTGCAGCTGGAGACGGGGGGGGGCAATAAAGTCCCATGCCAGGTGGCGGCAACGTATTAAAAACAGGCCCCCGAAACATGGTTCCACAAATTACTGTGATTTCTGACGTTTACCAGACTCTTCAAATTCCTTACCTGGGCATGAATTAAGAGTGGCAGCTGCTTTCTTCACACCAGAAATGCCAGCTTCTTGCCATTTTTTTCCCCTGATGAATTTCCAGCAAACTGACTTCTAGTCTTATAGGCGCAGAATTTATTTATACGCCAACGTGTGGTGCCCATAATTAAAAATAAAATTGGGGGGGGGAGAGTTGGCAGGGGATGGAGCTTAGAAGTCTCTCCGTGTGATTTAAGAAACACTTCAAAGAGAAGACTATTAGAGAAAACTTGTAATTAAAAACCACAAGTTCTAGCTAAAATCTCTATCGGGACTTAAGGGGACATCATTATTTTCTAACTTTTTCTTTGTTCCTTTCTTTTTGGGCCTCTCTCTGGATGCTTGTCTTTTTTTAAAAAAAAAACAGTCCGTGAGCAAAAGAAATGGAGGATATTGGCTTTTCCCCCCTTTCTGTTGTTTATCTTTCTTCTCTCCCTGCCTCTCTTGGTAGCTAACCTTCCCACCTCATCATCCTCCCTCCCTACTCAACAGCTAGGAAAGAGTAGCCCAAAAGGGAAGGGGAATAAACAATAGGGACCAGTTGCAGCAGCAAACAGTCAGAGCACTGGTTTTAACTTTTCGTGCTTTACATGCCTTCACACTTCACTTTTGTTCCCTGTGTGAATTAAGAAGCCTGCGGGGATCTGAGTAGCCCCCAGGTTGATTTTGTGCAAGTTCTGGTTGGAGACCTCAAGTGTTTTAGGCATCTGGCGGTCCGAGAGTTCGATTCCCCGCTGTGTCTCCCCAGAAAGAGCCAGCCTGTGTGGCCTTGGGCAAGCAGCAGTAAGTAGGTATGTGTGGCAGGGGAAGGATTTCAAACGGGGTTCAATGGGCACCCCCATGGGCATGACAGAGTTTCCCTTCTCTGAATGAAAGGTTCCCTGGGTATCATAATCAAGTAAAAAATAGATGGGGAATATTTCCAGCATGAAAACAGACTTCACTACTTCCCATTTCTCTGCTGCGCGAATGCACGGAAGTCGTGTTGCGTTGTAAGGTGGACTCTCATCTCGTCAAAGACCATGTCAAGGACCTCCACATCCAACATCATGCCTGCCCCTGAGTCAATGTCCTGAAGTACGTCCAGAAATTTGGCAAACATGCAAGTGTTCGCAGAGTTTCCGGAAACGACTTCTCTTTCACTGCAAATCTCGGCATCCTCAGCCTTGTGGCATTCTGAGATTTGTTCCCCCAAGAAAGGAAGAGACTTTTCCAAACTCTGGGGATTCCCCAGGAGGTGCTGAGAAATTTCTCCCCAGTTGAGGCCCGCGGGTTCTGATGCCACAGGATGGACTTGGGTGGGATGACTCCATTCTGGATTTTTATCTGAACTTTAAAGATTTGGCCCAAGTTATAGAACTGACTTTGCAGGAATAGGGATCCAGTACCTCGGCAAGCTCCCAGAGCCGATTTATCCTCTCTGCGGCACCCGCAGCACCTTCCCCCACTGCAATCAGCCGATATATTATTGTGGGAAGTGGCTTCTGGAGGTCAGCAGGTTTTGAAAGCCACTTTCCCTGGACAGGCAGGTAGAAGCAAAGCAAACACTGCTAACGAGTTGCCGATTTCCACAAGGAACAGCCTGACATGCCAGCCTGAGGCTCCTGAATTTCTAATCAGAAATTCATTCGCTGGAAGAAGAAAACCCTGTGGAAGATCAGCCTCAAAGGGCCATATCTATGTCTTGTGTCACATTCCTAGCCTTAGAAATGTCTTTTTGAGCAGAGTAGCCTGGAAATATGAGTTTGTCTAAGGAGCACTCGGTCCCTGCATTGTGTGCTTGTCGTTATTACGAATTTAACCGCCCAGGGATCAGCTTGTTTTGACGCACAATTTCAGGAGCGAGCGAGCGGCCTGCCTGGATGAACAGAGCTTCTTGGTGGTCTCCATGGTGTGATGATACAGACAGTGCCCTGGGGGGGGGGGGGGAAACGCTTGGCGGGGGGCAACCCCAAAGTGCTAAATAGGCCTGAGCCAGGAAATGAAACCGAATTCAAACATTTGCACTGCCCTTGCCGAATATTTTCAAAGAGGCAGAAGAACTCTGCCGTTGCAGACAGACTCTGGATTACTTCCTTGACTTGGAAAGAGTTGTGTATACATTGAGATGCTGGAAGAACCGGAATAAAGAAGCCACTTCTCGCCCTTAGGTTTACCACCTAAAATGGGTCGGGAGGAGCCATGGACTTCTTTCGCTTTCCCTCAGACCTTGGTGACTTCGCCCGCCCAGTTTTTAATGTGTTTTTCAGGCTTGAAATCGGCTGGGGGGCTGAAAATAGCCTTTAAATGCTGCTGCGGAGACAGTTGGTTTTTGTTTTACTTTGATTTTTGTTTTGTTTTGTTTTCCCCGAAAGCTGAAAAGCAATTGTGTTTGGGTTCTGATTGGGTCTGGGATCAGCATTCGGTGGAGCTACAAGGAGGTTGCGTACAACCTACGGGATGCTTGGCCAGCCCTTGATCTAAAGAAGCACCACACTAGAGGAAGGAGGGAGGAGGAGGTGTGATGAGGGCCACCCAAGCAGCTTTTCACCAGAGGCTCAGGGAAGGGCTCCTTTCCTTTCCTTCCCTCTCTCTGCTGTTGGAATGGTGTTGGAGAGCCACCACTTTCTATCGGCCGTGACAGGTTAGCCCGCCTGGCTGTCTTGCTCTCTTCCACCTCTTTTTTTCCCTTCTCCACTTTTTCTCCCCTCTCAGTGCTGAGTTGGAATTCTTGTGTGCATCGTTGATCTTGCTTTGGCTTCGTAAGGACCCGCATAAATGACATCATCATGCGTTAATACCAGATGGGCCTCCCTGTGACTCTCCAGAACACCCCTAATCCCTCACAGTTGACTGTAGTGGCCAAGACGGATGGGAGATTCAATTCCAAAACAACTGGAAAGCCACAGTTGTAGATCCTTGGGCCTCAACATCATCATCATGGCACTAAGGTTCAATTTTGAGAAGCCCATCTAGGTTAGCACCATCTTCCACTCTTGGAAACCGGTTTTGGGGGCTATCCAGAAACAACGATCTCACCCAAACTACTTTGGGGCCTTGAATCCTCTGATCACGCTTGCGCAAAATTTCTCATAGCGGCATGCAAGATACACAAAGATTTCATGGATAACGATTTTAAGCTGCAACTTTGCATTAACTCTTTTCTTCTCTGTTTTAGCATTGTGGCGCCTTAGGAAATTTCACCTGTCTTGTGTTCAATGTCTTTTGCTAGTCATGGACCATAGTAACAATAAACTAAGTGAAATGCTTGTAAACACCCTTCTCTCTTGCTCCCACCAGGTACGCTCGGCCGCCCGGAAAAGATGGCATCGCTGGCAGGACCACCACTCCTTACGGGTACGGGTTGCCCGGGCGATGTCAATCCCCACCTCCCCAACCCGGATCAGCTTTCACAGTATAAAACAGACTGCGGCCGTGTGAGGAAGCTTACACCTTCCCCTGTGAAGTGGATTTCCCTCTTCTCTTCCTGCCTCACTTTTTCTACACCCCTTCCGGGGTGTGTGTGTCTTTTCTTCTTTTATCTCCTCCCGCCTCCCACCCCGCCATGATGGGGCCGCTCTTAAGCCTGTCTTTATGGACATCTTTCCGTGATGCTGCTTTTGAGACAGAAAGAGGACCGTCACGCCGCGAAAGGAAGAGCAAAAAAAAAAAAAAAAAAAAAAAAAAAAAAAAAAAAAAAAAAAATCCGAGGACAGATCTTTTCATATCCCCAGAATGTCCATCACTTTGCTGAAAACAATCACTGAAGACCACCCCTGTAGGGTGTAATAAATACAGACTCTCTTCACTTCTGCCCTTCCGTCTAAGGAGTAAGGTTGGACCTTTGAACCAATTTCCAATGATGCAATTCCCAAAGGTTTTTTTTTAATTTCCTACATAATATCCACCACGTACCATCAAGTCATTCAACATATTTGTTTGTAAACAAGAGTTAAACCTTCCCACCCCCATGAGGAACACCCTGTTTCCATTATTAGGTGAAAGACTTGCAAATGATTTCAATCAGATGCTACAGAAATATGGGGATGAAGTAATTAAAAACAAGGAATGAAGGGATGATCCATAAGACGCACCTTTCCATAAGACGCACCAATTTTTTAGGAGAAGAAAACAGGAAAATATAATCTGTTTTCTTCGCTCCATAAGACGCACAGATTTTCCACCACCCCTGTTTTGTGGGGGGAAAGTGCGTCTTATGGTGCGAAAAATACAGTAATTGAGATCTTCTTTGTCTTTAAAGAACGGGAGGCCTATATGTTTGTTACAGGTAAATAAATTACATTGGCTAGGGAATTGTCAACAAAGGATCTGTTTTCTTTATCCCTGTAGAAAGAGTGAGAATATAGCCTTTAGAAAACTGAAGTATTTTAATCAGAAGTAAATCACAAGTCAATGTGCAGCCTATATACGTTCTTATTTGATGGAGAGAAGAAGCAAGAAGTGGTAGCTGTTACTGCAGGGGAGATGGGTAAAGATTCTGTTATAAGGAGGCAAATAATTCTTGCGATAATTCTTCTCCTCGGTGATCAAAAGCATGTCTCAACATGTCAAGGACACCCTGTCAAAAAAAATTGCTGCCCACTACACTATTCTTTCCTTCTTGCACAAGAATGACAGCAGCGTGAGCCAAAAATATTTTGTGCAAAAAACGTGTGCTTTTATTTTTTTAAAAAAAATTGTGTATTGCAGCAAAACCAGATTCTTTTCACTCTGCAAATTGTTTGCAAAAAAAGAAGTCCCAAAATAATAATTTTTTTAAAAGTACATAAAACTCTCGTAAACTCATCCAGTAGGGAGGAAGGTTTTTTTAAAATGTTCTCTCTTATCTGCTAGGACGAAATCAGTGAATATTCCCATCCCTGCCTTGTATTTTTGGTGATGATGTCTTAATTTAGGCGCTTTCAACCTTTGGGGATCAAATTGTATGCCACAGATAGCAAAGCATTGGAAATTAGTGTTCTAGAGACATGATTCTGGCGGACCTTCACGCCTGAATAATCGTATTTGCAAACAAAGTGTTTTAAGTCCTGATGGTTAGTAATAAAACAGAGCAAGCCGATATGTAGACAAGAAATATGAAAATATCGTGCGGTGCCCATCAACTGGCTTTCAGCGCTTAAGGAATTCTCTCTTGTCATGACACAGTGTCCGTCACGTGCAGTTTGGCTCTAGTGGTATTTGAAGACAGATGCCTACATGGCCACGAAAGAGTGATGAAGGGTATGAGGATGATAACTGTGTCCCTGATCATTACTACCTCCTAGCATTAGTGTGGATGCTTTCCAGTTCAGAATAGCAAACCGTATGCCGGCTGAAAAGTTACATTTTCCTCAGCAATGCAATGTTACTGTTTGGGGTGTTAGGAGCCTGCAATATTTGATATACAACAGAAGTACTCACCTTGAGGAGAGGTACCTAAATTTAAGTCTTGGGAAGAGTCTCGAGGTGGGTTTTTTTTGGACTGCACTGATGATGCTGGAAGAGAGATTCTGGGAATCTCAGTCTTTTAAGGGGGTGGTTTAAAATAAGAATGTATCTTTTATGCTACATGTTGGTCTGGCTGGAAGATGTAAACAGGCAATCTCATTAAGACTGATGGATCTCCTTAGAATATTAGGGTTGTCGGGTTTGTTTGTTTGGTGTTTTTTTTTTTTGTCTGTTTGTTTTCACCTAGGCTTTGCCAATCAGCTCTGAATGCTCCTGCAGCTGTCTTTATTTTTTTTTGTCTTGGAAGAGGATAATTAGAGTTTTTTTCATCATCTTCTGCTGGAGCCTCAAAACGAAGAATTTTTTTTAAAAGGGAAACTTTGTACGCGAAGTAAATGGTACAGAGACTATGACAACGACGCAGCCGCAAGGGTTGTGTGTGTCTTGGAAGAGGATAATTAGAGGTGGTTTTTTTTCATCATCTTCTGGTGGAGCCTCAAAACGAAGAATTTTTTTTTTTTTAAAGGGAAACTTTGTACGCGAAATAAATGGTACAGAGACTGTGACGACAACGACGCAGCCGCAAGGGTTGTGTGTCATTGGAAGGGTCTAATCTGCATGAGGCAGAGTTGCGGATTATCTCTGGGGCTTTTTATGTGACACTGAGATATTGTGTAAATATTTTCAGTAATAAATACTTCTGGTTTTGACTTCTGTTGGTTTGGAGAGTTTTTTTCTTTTCTGCCTAGCGCTTCGGGGGCCTTCAAATGCTGCATAGGATCACAGGATCGAAGAACTGTGGCGTTAGGAGCAACATGAGGCACCATCCGGGTCAACCTTTTGGCAATGCAAGAATCATCCAACAATAGAGTGGGAAGGGTCCTCTAAGGCCATCAAGTCCAACCCCCTGCTCATTGCAGGAATCCCAGCCAGAGTAGATCTGACAGAGGATGGTTCAATTTTCTCGTGAAAATGCCCCAGGCTTTGGAGCGCTCCCCTCCTCCCCCTGAGGTAACTGCTTCCACTGTCGTACTGCTCTAACAGTTAAGAAGTTTTTCCTGATACCCACCTCCCCCTGAGGTAACTGCTTCCACTGTCGTACTGCTCTAACAGTTAAGAAGTTTTTCCTGATAGTCAGCCTAAATCTGGCTTCCTATAACTTGAGCTTATTGTTGCATGTCCTGCACTCTGGGACGATCAGGAACAGATCCTGCCCTTCCTTTTTATGGCAACCTTTCAAGTATTTGAAAAGTGCTATCATAAGTAAATTTGCAGCAAAGCCAAAGTGAATCCAGCAGATGGCTTTTCACACCTCCGTTTAATAACCTCCACCAAAGTCTTATCACTTTCCCATGGGACCTTAAACCCATCCCTGGGCCACTCTAGCCTCTACATAACCTGTGTTCTTTCTCCTGAGAATCGCCACAGATTATGGAGGCTCAGAACCTCCTTGGCCACTCTGGCCCACCATACTCCGTGGTTACTCTCTCCAGAGTTCAATTCATGGAAAAGAAATGTTGGGCGGAATAGCAGTAAAGGGCTGAATGTCAAATGACGTGCTATCTAATCTGGGCTCTGTGGTTTCTCTGAAGGATCTTTTTCTCGAGAGAGAGAGAGAAATCCTGGAGACTCCTGGACTAGAGAAGCCATCTCTTCTCTTCACCGAGGGAAATGGAAGCCTCCTCTGCCCATTGAGGAGGAGGGTCCCTCATACGTGGCACAAAGAGGTGAAGAGCAAGGAGACAGTGGTGAAGTATGACAACAGCACAACTGGTGGTGCCACACACACACACACACACACACACACACACACTGCGCCATGTTGTAGAATGTGTGGCTTTTATGAGGATTTGGGGCCAAGATTTGATGGGAGGCGCGAGCCAAAGAATCGGCTGTTCCATTTTTCATCTATTGCACTTTGGCAGTGTTTAGCTCATATATTGTGTGGACGGGGTGGGGTGCCACTCAGATGCCACCCAAGAAGGCCACTTCATGAGGGCTAATCACAGTTGCAGAATTTTGAATTTTTTTAAAGTAAAATTCTCTTTTTGCCACACTGTAGAAATACAGAGAATCAGAAAATAGCTACAAGCTCCCCAGAGTCCACCTTTTTCTTATTCGCTAGCACTTCAAGTCTCCGTAATTCGCTCTGAGAATGTTTGTAGGGGAAGGAATGTTTTACCAGTTTACTTCCAGTACAGACTTGTTTATACAGCTTTCTTTACTGCACACAGACTAGTAACCAACTGAGCGGAACAACAACAGCAAACATACGCTGCCAACCACTGAAAGGGAGGGGAAAGGAGCACTTAAAAGAGAGGCGGGGCTTAAAAGAGAGATGGGAGAGATCAATTGGTTAGTAGTGAATAGACAACCGTCCCAGCCCAGAAAAGCCCCTCCCAGTCACGATTGGTTAGTAGTGAATAGACAGACAACCATCCCAGCCCAGAAAAGCCCCTCCCAGTCACTCAAACTGCAGATAGCATGTGAGGCGGTAAATAAAACTGCATTAATTACAAGGCTGATCCTGCCCTAAGCCACCACCACATGTAGTCCTTTGGGGCAATGTTGGCCCATTCACACACTCTAAGGTTGGCCGGTGTTCTGATCATGCACATTACAGATGGGGAGACCGAGGCTGAGGTAAAATGGTTTGCCTGGCAGACGAGAAATTTAAATGAAGACCTCTTGATTTACAGTCCAGTCTTTTCACTCTGAATCCAGGAGTCCTAGCTTTCGGGTAGAGGCCAAGCAAGGCAGATACCACATGGCTAAAACAAACACCTGACATTGAGGCTACAATAATTCAGTCTTTGCCCTCTGCAACGACTAAACACAATACCTAGACCATCATTTCTGCACATACAAACACACACACACACACACACACATACACACAAGCCAAATAAAAATGCCATGGTTTCATATAATGCATGTTCATTGCAGCTCCAGATTTTACTGTTTAGCTGAAAATTTAAAAACAAAGCAATAAACTAATTATATTAGCATCCTTTTATGTATTAGCATCCCCACAGGATATATGGCCAACCAGCAGAGCTGATGGTGTTTTTCATGGCAGCAGCCAGATGACACGCCGAGCGTTTGATGGATTAAAGCTGCCGTTAGACTCTGCAGAATTTGGTTCTGTCGCTCCAATGCCAGGCTTCCAAATTGGCCCTGTACATCCACCCTCATCAGCAGCCCTCACACCATGGCTCCTTCTCACAAAGAGCCTCACTTTGATTAGAGGGGAAACAGAGCATGGACAGAGTTCCTACTGTAGTCCTCTGAAGATGCCGGCCACAGAGACTGGCGAAACGTCAGGAAGAACAACCTTCAGAACAGGGCCAAAGAGCCCGACAAACCCACAACAACCATCTGTCTAAAAGACCATCAGGCTGGGAAAAGTGGAAGGCGACAGGAAAAGAGAAAAACCCAAGGAAGCCACAGGCCTATTCAATAAACAAATGCCAGGCTGGGAAAGGTGGAAGGCGGGAGAAAAAGAGGAAAACCGAAGATGAGATGGACCGACTCCCTCAAAGAAGCCACAGGCCTATTCAATAAACAAATGGTGAATGTCCACAAAAGTGCCTCTTTCCCCTCCATCTTTGGAGAACGCTGACTTCTTTTCCAGAGGTCACCTCCTCGTACTATCGTGCGCTGGGTATTTGAGGAAAGGTTGTACTTTTTTTAAAAAA